TACATATATATATACACACACACACATATATAATGTTTGAATATTATATATGTGTGTATACATACACACACACATATATATCCATATATACAGAAAACTTAAAACAAATAACAGAAATAAGTCATTGGATCATCGATTTCAATCTGAAAGGAATCTTAAAAGGAAAAAAACCCTCTTATACTCCATGTGCTGGTGTCCAACGCACAACTGGAATACAATGACCACCTTCTGTCTACTTTTCCAGCTCCAAGAACCTATGTGGATTTATGTCCATGTGTGTTCTTGAGAAAGCTGGTCCCTGAGGATGGCCAGTAGGGACTAGGCTCTGAAGCAGGTTGTCTGTCCCAGAGACAAATAAAGAAATAGAGGCAGAAGATCATACTCTTCTGGAGAACGGGAGAGAAAGCAAGCCTCTCTCCCTGGGCTAGAGATGAACGCATCTGTAAGCTTTAATCCATATTCACACGAGGGGAAAAAAAGCAACAAGGAAATGACAGCTCAGTCAGGCGCCTCATTCTATGATATAGTCTGGGGGAAGGGAAAAGGATGGTGTGGGGCATTACAGAAATCCTCAGCTGCCATGATGGAAATGCCAGGCTCCATAAAGAATTGGTGCCTCTAGAAACTGAGTCACCAAGGGCAGGACCTCTTAGTGCCTCCTTCTCACGCCAGCAACAAACAAGTTTCTCTTGTTTGCCTTATTCACAGAAACCAGGATGATCAACCCCAGAGCCGAGCTGGGGGTTCTGCAGTCATACTTCACATGTAGCAGGGATGAGTGGGGTGTGACTTTCAAAGAGATTGGGTAATTTGGGTCTTCTCAGAGATGTATTTCTCTGTGGAGGAGGAAGAAGAGGCCAAGGAAATGTAACTCTATCCCTGATCCTCCACTGGTAGAAGAACCATCACTAGGAGATCTGGTCCAGAATTTTGGGATCCCAGTAAGCCAGGGGTAACCCACTTCTTTATCATGGACAATACTGACCCAATACTATGTCTCAGAGCCCTCAATGGGCCCTTTTTTCTTCCTGTATAGAAACAAGTTTTCCTGTGGTAGCTAGGGCTAAGCCCTGCAATGCGTAGAGAGCTGGGCCTGAAGTTGGAAGACCTGAGTTCAAATCTAGCTTCAGACACTTGCTAGCTGTGTGACCCTGGGCAAGTCACTTCATTTATGTCTGGCTCAGTTTCCTCCACTGTAAAATGGGATATAATAGCACCTACTTCCCATGGTTGTTAAGAGGATTAAATATGATGATGTTTGTAAAGCGCTTAGCATAGTGCTCAGCACGTAGTATTTATATTTGAAATACTTGGTCCCTTCCTTTCCTCTCCCTTTGTTTCAGTCTAATTGTTTCCAGGCTGCCATCCTTAGGGTCCTGTCACTGTGGTGCCCATCTCCTGGGCCTGCCTCTGCCACCTCTTCTCCCACAGAGATAAGATCTGGTCCCAGGCAGTTGGGCTACCTTCTCTCCCAGCACAACTACATCCATGGTAGGGTTGGCCTCTCCTTTCTTACTTTCTCTCCCCCACACTGCTCCCCTCACCTTCCATTAAATTTTCCTAAGTTGCAAGTATACTTGATGGACAGTTCTGGGAGCCCAGTTGTGAAATCAGAGAATCATGGATTTGGAACTAGAAGAGGTCTCAGAGACCCTCTGTTCCAGCTTTTTCATTTTTCAGATGAGGAAACTGAGTCCCAGAGAGATTATAATGGCTTGCCCAAGTCACACAGGAAGCATTACATCTGGGATTTGAAACTCTGGTTCTCTGACTCCACCCCTTAGCATGGTGTGAGGCACAAGGAGACAGTGGGGCTGGGCTGAGCTGGGTATTTTGTACTTGAATGCACCATTTCTTTCCTTTTTTTGAGTGCACCATTTCTAAATTACAACTTAAAATCCTTGGAATGATAGCATCCCCAAGTGCCAGAACAAGCCAAATCCATGCCCTCAGCATAAGCAATGTAGCTGGGAGTTGGAAGGGGGATAGAAAGAAAGGTAGACGACTGCATGTACCATTAAAGGTGACAAAGAACTGCTCTCATCTCAGCCCTTTGCCCTTCCTTGGGCATCCCTGGCCACTCTTTCCCCAAACAATCCTGTATTCATTTTGCATGTATTAGGTATAAATTTATACGTAATCTATACAAACCTTAATAACTTAAAACTGTACTAAGATTTAATAAATATTAAATTGGATTGGATTGGCCCATACTAAGTACTTAAATACTTATTGAAATGAAATAAAATCCTAGCTGAGGTTCTGCTGATATTACATCCTTGTACAAACAAAGAAACAAACAGAAACCAAGAGAAATATCTAAATATAAGGTCCTTTTTTCAGCTTCCTCTCCATCAGGGCCCTCCCTGCAGAGGACTTTCTATACAGTTTCTAGTATATCCTAAATTAATATCTAAAATACAAGACCCCATTTCTTTTCCCCTTCCATCTTTACCTATATCCTGAAGATGTTTCATTTAATTGTAAAGACAAACAACTTTGGAAGACTTAAGAATTCTAATCAAGACAACAAGTGACCCCAAATTCCAGAAGACCAATGAAAAAGCCAGCCACCCCCCTCCTGACAGAGAGGCGATGGATTCAGGGCACAGAACGAGACTTTTATTCTGGATTCTGCCAACGTAGGGATTTGTTTTGCTTGACTCTGCGTATGTGTTGTAAGGACTTTGTTTTTCTCTTTTTTATCCTAATGGGCAGGGGAGGAAGAAAGAGACTAAGGATAAGGTTCCCTCCAAAAAAAAAGAGAAGAGAAAGGCAGAAGGAATCACAAATAAACAGGGCAGTTTTGAAAGGTACATATTGAATTTATTATATACTTCATGTTACACAGACCACCCTGGCCCCTTCTGCCTGAAGACCGGAGTATGTCATGTTTCACTCCTTTCCCAGGGCTCTCTGGTACACTTAAGGAGATTTGGGGGATGTCTGGGCTCTCTTCTAATGGCTCCAGCTCCCCCACTCCTAGATGGTTTTTCCTCAAGTGTAGGGGTGGCGCCCCAGTTCCAGTTAGCCACTAACAATTGGATTTGCTCTTACAAAGGAATATTTATTTCCAAAGGTATAATCACAAATACACATACTACAACCCTGATTCCCCCTTGCACTGTCTCAGTGACTCTGGAAGGGGAAAGGGATTAGGGTCATAGTTTGGCTTGGTTCCCAGAAGAGCATAGTCCCAGTTATCCACCTAAAACCCCTCTTGGGCTTGAGTCCTAAATACCGCAGCTTCTCAGGTTTCTATGCCAGGCTGGCTAGCTGCACCACCCTGCCTGTGATCTTGGCTCCAAGGTCACCATGGCCCAAACTCCCAGGTTCTGTGAGAGTAACCAGCACTTGAATCCAAGGAGTACAAACAATACAGAAACAAACAAACGCCTCCAATCCCATTTCTCAAAGCTGGGCTAAGAGAGCGAGTGGGGGAAGGAGCGTCCTTCCCTCTCGCCAATTCAGATCACGGCATCATCACTGGATGAACTGGGATCTTCACTTTCTGGCTCAATTGATAAGAGTGGCCGAAAGGAGAGCAGTAGAAAGAGAGAATCAGAAAAGAGAGTGAAGATCTCAGTCTCTCCAATTTTAAAGATTCAGAGAGCCAATCAAAGGAGGCTTACCCTCACCATGTGGTAACGGATGCAGTGGAGATGCAGTGGGCACCATGTTAGACAAACTAGGTTTGCCCAGAGAAACTCAGATTATGTTAAAAAGAAAAGCAAGCTCTAAATAATAGATTCACAATTCCATGTACAATCTTCTCCTTCTGCTCCATGATGTAGTTATCCCTTCTACATCTTGACTTTCCCCACTGGGGTTTTGATATAACGCAGGCCAGCATAAGAAACTAAATGAGAATTTGGGGGGAGTTTGTGGCCAGGAAGACCAGCAGACAACATAGAAAAAGTTTGGAAACTCAGAAGTGTATAAGATATGTGTATAGTATAACATCAGTATATTTTATCTTTTAATACCAGAATAATTCAAACTTCTTCTCTGTTACGAAAGGAGAGCCAAAAAATTTTACGTAGATTTTCCAGATCGCTGTGGCACTGTTCCCCTAATCCCCATGATGTGGAAGAGATAACTGCGTATGGGAAAGCTCTTTTTTTTTTGGTGCTTCATAAGTTGAGAAGAAAAATGAAATGATAAACATAGTCTTTTTAAAAATAAACAGGAAAATAGTTAGATGAAAATATGGGGTGTCCCAGTTTTAAGCTACCATAGCTTAAAACTGTACTAAGACTTTTGGGACAGTCTGTCTATGCCATTGAGGGAGGGGTTTCCATATATCCTCAGCCTGTAACAGCCTTTTGTTCATGGCTTCTCTTAGCCCTGTCCTATGACCAGGTTTGTTCCTTAGCCACCAGCATGAGACATAGTTCAGGGATCTTGTGAGGATGAAAATAATACCTTTTTTTATTCTCTAATTTTGTTGATGATAGTGACTTTTTTTTTAATCTGCCATGTAACCATTTGGGGCTTATCTTAGTATGTGGTGTGAGAAGTTGGGTCCTAATTTGTGCAGGCTGTTGTCCAGTTTTCCCAGAAATTTTTGTCATATGGTGAGTCTTCCTCCTTCCCCCCAAACCTCCCTCCCGTGACTGGGATCTTTGGGTTTAGCAAAACTATGCTACTGCATTTGTTCGCCTCTCTTCTTTTTCTGTCTAATCTGCTTCATTGATCAACCACAAACCCTTTAGATTTGTAAGCTCCTTGAGGGCAAGGACTGTCTTTTGCCCCTTTTTGTATCCCCAGTGTTTAGCATAATGCCTAGCACATAGTAGGTGTTTCATAAGTATTTATTGGCTGATTATTAACTAGTGCAGAACTTTTAATGATTATTGCTTTGTGGTAAAATTTGAGTTTTGGTACTGATAAATTTCCCACTTTTTTTTTCATGATTACTCTCAAGATTCTAGACCTTTTGTTCCTCCAGATAAACAGATACTTAAAATATTTTGAGAACCATTTCAATTTAATTGGTTTCCTTTGTGATTCTCTGTATTTTTATTAATTAAATTATGAATTTTATTAATTAAAAACATGATTCTGAGAAGGGTTATTTCATGTGTACCCATAAGCTTCGCCAGAATACTGGAGGAGTCTATGACATTGAAAAAAAGAAAAAGAAAAGGTTGAGAGTCCCTACTTTACAACAAGGTCAGGTTCTTTTGCGGCTGAGGTTGCCCATCCCAAGCTCAGCTCACAGATGTTAAACTAAAGACTGTATTATACTTTGTCCCTCCGTTTTGTGTCATTGTGATAGGTCGGTCCTTCTCGTTTGAGGTACACATGAACCATCCAGGATACGCAGCTGACTCAAAGGTTGATGTGCTATCAGCCTGATTTTGGTAGAAGACAAAAGGCTTCTGTGCATTCTCTGAAGAGTACAGGGCCATTACATTATTACTCTGTGGAGCAGGAAAAAAAAAGACCTTTTAGAGATGATTTGGGAAGAATGGGGACAGGTAGGAACCAAACAGACCTATGGTTCAAATACTCCTTATCACGAATGAAGAAAACACAAGCAAAGAAAGAGATGCAGGGCAACCTTCTTTTTCAATTGCTAGTGCAGTGGGGGACTGGCTAATAGCAGCCAGCTCCTGGGAATGGGCAGGTTGGGTGAGCCTGCTTCTGAGAATTCCTAATGAGGTAGAATGGAGATCATGTACAGTTATTCTGTAACTTTTTCCCGCCTTTTGGTTGACTGCTGACCCAGAAATGAGTATGCATACAAAAGTTACTAACTGACCAAATCATGTGTCTCTTCTCACCCCCAAGCCATTTGAATGAAGTAGAGCTGCTCCCCCATCTGGTCGCCATATAGGAAATGTTTTCCCCAGTTCCTAGACTCAGTCAGCAGGCATTCCTAAAGATTTTCTTCACCAAACAGTGAATAGACAAGAAACAATTAGAGAACACTTGTGCATGTTCTGAAGTGGAGAGCTGGTCCCCTGCATTCCTCCATAAGCATTTGTAGAAGTTGTTTCAGCAGCCAGGTGGCACAATGGACAGAGTGCTAGGCCTGGAGTCAGGAAGACCTGAGCCTCAGACACTTACTAGCTGTGTGACCCTGGGCAAATTTGTTTGCCTCAGTTTCCTTATCTGCAAAATGAGCTGGAGAAGGAAATGACAAACCACTCCAATATCTTTGCCAGTAAAACCACAAAAGAGTCAGACACAACTGAAAAATGGCTGAACAACAGAAGTTGTCTCACCAAATGTGTATGCTTCCAAGTACTGGCCAGTCACTTGTTGCACTCCCAAAAGTCTCCTCCTGGCCCTAGGACTCTGGCATGAGTTCCTCTATGTAATGATTATGCAATATATATATACACACACACACACACATATATATATGAAAAAATATATGTGTGTGTATGTATGTATGTATGTAAGATGTGTATATATGTGTGTATGTGTGTGTATATATATGTATATATATGTAGGTATGTGTATATCTGTGGTCTGAGGTAGGGCAGCGCATAAAGAACATGTATAATAAATGTGTAGTTAATGTAATCATAGGCCCAACTTCTATCTAGTTGGGGAGTTCTGATGGACTTAAATTTTTGAATAATAGTTAACATTTATATGGTGCTTTAAGTTTTGTGAGCACTATTTATAGCAGCTCTTTTAATGGTGACAAAGAATTAGAAATTGAGGGGATGTCCATCAATTGGGGAATGACTGAACAAGTTGTGGTATATGATCGAGATGGAATATTATTGTGCTGTAAGAAATGACAAGCAGGATGTTCTCAGAAAAACCTGGAAAGACTTACATGAACTGATACAAAGTGAAATGAGCAGAACCAGAACATTGTACACAGTAACAACTATACTGTACGATGAACTACTGTGAATGTCTTAGCTATTCTCATCAATACATTGATCTAAGACAATTCTGAAGGACTTATGATGAAAAATGCTGTCCATCTCCAGAAAAAGAACTGGTGGAGCCAGTTTTTTTTTACTTTCTTTTTTTTTTTTTGGGAGGGGAGAAAGGGTTGGTCTCTTTTTTTCTTTCATAGCATGACTTACATGGAAATATGTTTTTCATGACTACACATATATAACCTGTGTCAAATTGCTTGCCTTCTCAATTGGAAAGGAAAGGGAGAGAGAGAGGGAGAGAATTTGGAATTCAAAATTTGAAAAAAAATGTTAAAAATTTTTACATGCAATTGGGAAGAAATAAAATATTAAATTTTAAAAGTGAAAAAAAGTTTTGCAAAGCACTTTATATATGTTAACTCATCCTCGAAGCAACCCTATCTACCTCATAGGTAAATTCTGCTTTTTTCTCATTTTACAGATGAAGAAACTGGCACAGAAAAGTTAGATGCCTTGCCCGGGATCACACAGCTAGTAAGTGTTTGAGTTTGGATTTGAACTCAGGTTTTCCTGACTTCAGACCCAGTGCTCTATCCTTTACACCACATAGCTCTCAGAAGAAAGACATTTGGAAGCGGGGAAGAAAGATGAGGATAGTAATCTTGTCTGCCTGTCCCTCCCCCTTTAGTTCCCAAGCATATTATTACTCAACAGATTCTTCAACATGTACCAAGATCTCTGATTTCAGTGATAGGGGTACTTCCTCCACTCACACCTTAGTAACCTGAGGATAGTAGATGGTCTTCATGAGTGGTTATGGCCCTCGCCTGATCTTTCACCTGGTGATGAGCCTCTCTGAATTTAGTAAGTGTGATCTGAAGATGACAGACACAGAGTTTTCTGCCACATCCATACTCAGAGTCTTTCCATCTTAGAAGGACCCGTCAGAATTTGAGCTTTGCTAACATAGCCTTTGTATATAGGGTCACCTTCACATCATGAAGAGAGAAGGGACTCTGTCTGATTATAGACATTTATTATATCTAATATCTAATTAGATAGTTATCCATCCTTCCATCTGTCTATCAATCTATCTATCCATTTATCTACCCATTCATCTATCTCTCCATCCATCTAGCCATCCATCTGTCCATCCACCCATCCATCTATCCATCTATCCATCTATCTATTCATCTATCTATCTATCTATCTATCTATCTATCTATCTGTCTGTCTGTCTGTCTATCATCTTTCTCTCTCTGAAGTTAGAGGACCTGGGTTCAAATCCTGCCTCTGAAATCTTGGGTAAGTCACAATCTCTTAGTTTCCTCACCTGTGAAATGGGGAAAAGAATTGCACCTGCCTCACAAAGTTGTTAGGATAATCAAATGAGATAACACAAGTAAAGTGCTTTGCAAACTTTAAAGCTCCATACATTCTAGCCATTGCCAGATGAGATCTAAGCCAACATCTCCCAGACTTCAAGGACAACCTGCTGTCTATCATACCACACTGCCTTGCCCAGGGTTACATAGCCACGTGTCAGAGTCTAGACTTGAATCCAGGCAGACCTGGCTCTGAGACAAGCTCTCTATCCTCTACCCCTGAATGCACTGGGATCCTATGAGGAAAGGGCATCTAGGTGGCTCAGTAAATAGAGCACTGGACCTGGAGTCAGGAGGACCTGAGTTCAAATCCAGCCTCAGACACTTCTTAGCTGTGTGATCTTGAAGTCACTTAACTTTGCCTCAGTTTCCTAATCTGAAAAATGATCTGGAAATGGCAAAACATTCCAGTGTCTTTGCCCCAAATGGAGTCACAAAGAGTTGGACATGACTGAAATGACTCAATAACAACCTGTGGGGAAAAGTGAGGGAAAATGAATGGACAAAGATTGCTCAGGGAGATTTAAAGGAAAATACTAAAATAATGCCATGACTCCAGAGGCATTGAAATGAATGAACTTAAATACAAGTCATCATTAAGTATTTGTCCATGTCATTGTTTGTATTTGTGTTCAATATTAAGGTTTTAATGAAACATTAAGGAAAAAAGTGAGGGAGGTCTGCTCTACATAGGCAGGTGCTTTGCTCTTGCTGAGTCTTTTCCTCTGAAAAGGAGGTAGGCTCCAGGAAGGGCTTAGCAGAGTCACCACCAGAAACAACAACAGAAGTAATGGTTCTGCTGAGTTCAGATTTCCAGAATGTCATACACATATATGTTCACATGAGATACTAGAACACTCTAAAAATAAAGATCGAGGATTTGGGGTTCATCCATGCCTTTGCTTTTGTCTGTTAGGGAGAAGTGAATGTTTTTCCTAGTTGCTCACCTGCAACTTCAAGGTGGGCTGCCCTCCACTTTCTTCACAGAACAAACAGAGTTCTTTCTTCTGTATTCCCAGATAAATAGCTGTCCCTTTGTCTCTCACAAGGTATTCTTTGGCTCTACATGGCATCGATTCCAAAATGACTGGGGGACAGAGAGAGAGCAAATGGAGTAAGTCACTATATTTGTCACAATGGAATGGGTACATGGAACATGAGTCCAGGATCGGGGCGGGGGGAGGAAAGTAGTGTTGTTGCTGCTTTTGGAAAAGCGTTAAGCACCGGGGAAGAAGGGCTTCTCCAGAGCACCCTTTGTTCCAAGACTGGTGTCCTGAAAGGAGCTGCTAGGTCTCTGTCTCTTTCAGTGAACACTCAGGTGAGACCCAGACAGATCAATGAGTCATAAGGATCATGCTTCCCATGTTTCCCCCAAAATCATTAGGGTTTCTATCTTGTGAGGTAAGCATCAATATTTTAGCTATTTTCTAAACTGAGAGTAGACATCTTTAAGTGGATAGCCCATAGACATCTTTAAGTCAAAATGTCCAAAATGGAATCTACTCTCTTTCTCCCAAACCCTCCCCTCTTCACAACTTCCTTGTCACAGAACTAGGAGGTGGGCTCTTAATCTCTTCTGGGTCCTGGATCCTTTGGGCAATCTGGTGAAGCCTGTGGACCCCGTCTCAGAATCATGTTTTAAATGCATAAAATAAAATGTACAATATTATAAAAAGAAACTAATGATATTGAAATATAAGTATCAATTTTTTTAAAGTTCTTATAGCCCAGGTTAAGAACTCCCATGGCTTAAATGCTCTCCCTCCTCATCGCAGTGTCCAGGCTTTCCTGGTTTCTCCCAAGTCCCAGCTAAAAATCTCACCTTCTACAAGAGATTTTTCCCAACTTGCAATCCCCACCTGCTAATGCTTTCCCCTTGAAGAATATCTTCATCTGCTCTGCATGGACCTAGATAGCTACATGTTGTCTCTCCAATTAGCATGTGAGTTCCTTGAAGGCAAGGACTATGTTTTTGCCTTTGCTTGGCTCCCCATTGCTTACTTAGTACATCAATAAAGGCTAATGGACTGACAAGAAGAGACCACTATAGGAGTGGCCACACCCCAAGAGGCCATCTAAAGACAGTCTCTAGTTGCTAGTTGAGTCAACTAGATTCAAGTGAAGACTTACCAGGAGTCACGTGGTCGCTGTGTGGCGTTGCTATGAGAGTGTTATTCTGCAGGGCCAACACTTGCTGGTTGAAATCTTGGATGCGGAAAACATAGGGATGTTTTGATGACACTGGAGAATAAAATGAAAATTCCATGAATCCAACTTTTAGGGATAAATCTGGGGCTAGGGAAGTATCCTCTGATTTCCTAAGGGATAGACAAGGCCTGTAATATGGCAGAATGAAAACAAGGAATGGAACGGAGAGAAAAAAAAAGTTTTAAAAAATTAAGCACCTTGGTTGACTCTCCATGAATGTTAAAACACTCAAGAAAGTCAAAGACTCAAGAGTATCTTAGAAAAATCATTTGGAGACTATTCTGATGATATGTCATCCCTGTGACGGAGTAGATTGGCCAGGCATCATCTGATTTAGTTAAGATGAAGTTAGTGATGGACCCAAATCAATCAAGCACAGAGAGACAATCATAGACTACAACAGGGATAAGGAGAAGGCTTCAAACTTTCGGGTTCCTAAATTCAGGCTTTGAGTATGTTTTAGTAATAAGTTCTCACAATTGGACCAAGTAAATTGTATTGATAATGGTAAAGAAAGTGAAATCATTTTGAAGCGTCTGTCTGATAATATTAAAGGGAAGAAGAATTCATTCTACAGTTGGACCCTCCCTCATCAATTTTTTAAAGATTCCTATATGAGATACAGGGTTTAGATAAGGATTGAAACTACAAATGGCATATAAGCTGAAATTCTCTGAAGTTTCAGATTTGGAGAACCCAAGTTAAGTGATCGTACAGAATTATCTAAGAATTTCTAAATTTGGAATTAGAAAAGCAGAGCCCCCTTTAGAGCTGTCCTGAGAGTAAAATCTATCGTCCAAGAAAAGATGCCTAGAGACCAGATGACTACATGAGGCATTTGTGACTCAAAATGTGCTGGTTAAATTGCTATTGAGAATGGGTTACTAGGATAAAAGGAGACTTGATTTTAGTTAAAATTTAGTTTTCTTGGTTACTTTGGTAACATGTAAATCTCCCTTCTCAAGACTAGTCCATTGTGAACCCTCTAAGTAGTTTGATCTGTAACCTGACATTAATGTGACTTGACTTAATGCCATTGTGATAACAAATTTATGAAAAATCTTATCTTTCAGGTTCCTAAATATACGGTGAAAAAAAATCCAAATTTACAAAACAAGTGTTAGATATATAACTGTGGTTCTCCAGTTTCAGCTCACAGTGGAGGGGAAGAGACATCCTCTAACCTCTCCAGCACCTCTACTCATCCCATATCATCCCCACTCCTTTTCACACTAGGCAGTCCATGGCCCAGCCCCTCTGTGTTCTTGATGCTACCACTTTGGGTTCTCCTCCCTGGTGGGAGAAAGCAGAAGGATTTTTTTCCCTTCACATCCCTTCTACTATACCCCAATAGCAATGTAATTTAAAGGACACATTATAATACCCTATATAGGAATATATAATTGAGTAGCTGGGACAAGGTGGAGGATAAAACAAGATGAAAAAACAACAACAACAACAAGAACACACATCATGAATAGTTTAATCCTAGCCCTCGCCACTAACTGATTCCGTTCAGACTTGATTTCTTTGTTCTTTCTGTTAACTCAGTTCTAGTTCCTTTTCTATGGGAAATTGATGATGATGATGATGATGATATTTATATAGCATTTAATGCCTGGCATCTAGTAGGTACTTAACACATGCTTGTTCACTTGCCGTAGCTCATCTGAGCTTCACAACAGCCCTGCAAAGTAGGTATTATTATTATGCCCATTTTACAGGTAAGAAAACTGAAGGAGCTTAAGTGACTTGTTCAGTCACACAGCCAGTAGTTGTCTAAGTAAAGATCTGAACATAGGTCTTCCAGACTCCAAGGCCAGCATTCTATCCACCACCAGGTGGATACCTGACCAGGTAACTGTACCTCAGCTCTTAGGAATCTCTTTCTCTTCCCTTTCATTCTGGGTGCAGGAGTCCAGGTCTTAGGCAATGACCAACTTCCCATAAATCAAAAATTCAAAAATGCCTTTGACACCTTCTATGACCTCTGGGCTATAGATGAGGAAAGGGACTCCTTTCCCTCTTCACATTCACCTTACCCAAAAAAGTTCTTATTAAGAAGAAACTGTTCCTTAACATGCCTCCAAACCATCACTTTCTTGTGGGTTTTGACCTCATGCTGTCTCAGCCCTCTTCTGCAGAGTCTCCATGCTCTGGTCCTTGGGGGCTATACATAGTCATGCCTTAGTGTGTTTCTCTCCTGTCTTCCTAAAACAAAGTCCACTAGTCAGATCTTTTGGGTTACTTCCACCTTTGACTTTGAAGTCACTTCCACCTATAACTACATGGGCTATAAACAGTATAGCTCTGGGTCAGCAGGCTTTTTTTTTTCAGCCTGAGTATCCATGTTTGGGGTCAGTGGATTAAGTGGTGAGCCTGGAGTCAGGATGACCTGAATTCATATCCTGCCTTAGACACTTCTTGGCTGTGTGACCCTGATCTTACTTACACTCTCTCAGCCTCAGTTTCCTCATCAATAAAATGAGGATAACAGTAGAACACTCCCTCTCTCCCACTGTGAGGACCAAGTGAGATGAACTGTGTAAAACATTTTGCAAACTTTAATGTTCTATTATTATTATTACTATAAAATGCCTTCTTTCCTTGGAATAACTGAATCACTCATTCTGAACCTGGAACTCTTATGGCCCTACCCTGGCTCCCCATTCATTGGCCAAGCTGAGGTGACAGACATAGCTTAGGACCAAAGGAAATTAGACAATTTTCCTTGTATTTAATTGTTGCTCTTATCACTTTCTGATATCAGGTGGTGATTCACTGGCCCAGCTACTTACAGTGGTGCTCATCTTTTCTGTCCATGGTTGGTTCTTCTCAACACCTGTAGAGACAGAATGTAGAGACAATAGTGTATGTTCATTCATTCACTGAATATGTATTTAAGTGCTACTATATGACAACCACTAGGAATGTAGAGACAAAAAAAGAAAAAAAATGTACCAGCCCTCAAGGAGATTATCATCTACTGAGGATATACAACATAGGAACAGATAAGTAATATAAAAATATGTACCGCAATCATAATAATAACTAGCATTTATTTATACAGTGCTTTAAGTTTGCAAAATTCTTTACAAATATTATCTCTTTTGTTCCTCACAACAACACTGGAAAGTGAGTGCTATTATTGTTATTATTCCATTTTACAGATGGGAAAACTGAGGCAAACAGAGTTTAAGTGACGTGCCAGTGAAGTGTGTGAGGCTGAATTTGAACTCTGCTCTTCCTGACTCCACAGCCAACACTCTCTCCATTGTACCATTTAGTTGCCTCTGACATAAGTCTAAACGGTACTTATATACTCTGAACTCAGAGACTCCAGGGAATATCCTTTAAACCAGTAACAAGAAAGCAACCTTAGGTGCCTCAGCTTGACCCTGCTCCCACCCCTAGGGAATAGGGAAGGGGTCAGGGACCTCCTGGGGTCCCAGAGTATCTCACAGCAAAGAACTGCCTCGGAGGCTTAGATTCTGACTGAGCAGCTTCCATCAGGACCCACAGTCATCATGGAAGTCTGAAGTACAGCAATATGAGGAGTTTCCCCCACAGGGTAGGTCTGAGGAAGAGGTTACCTGTGTGGCCCCAGGTCCGCGTTGTTGTTCTGTGAGGTCTCAAAACCTTTTAAACAGACAAGCAGAGTGGGAGCTTCAGTACTTCCACAGCAACATCTCCACAGGCTGAAGTCACCAAGAAATAGCTCTTTCTGAGGGTGGAGTTTCTTGGGTGGGGAGCTGCCCTAGCAGCAGCATCAGGGTGGGTCAGTCAGGACACCCCAAGGGACAAGCCCTATTTGAGCCACCAGGAAATGTACAGAGTGACATCAGGTGACTTTCCCAAAAGGAACAGACTTTCTGGTTTTCATGAGATCATAGATTTAGAGCTGGAAGTATCCTTTATTAAAAGATGGGAAGGGCCTTCAAGGTCATTGAGTCCACCCCTCCCATCCCATTTTACAGATGAGGTAAACAGAAGTTAAGTGACTTGCCCAAGGTCATACAGCTAGTAAGTATCTGAGGCTGGGTTTGAACTCACCTTCCGACTTCAGATCCAGCACTTTATCTGCTGCTCCTGAGTCTGAATCTACCTCCAGAATTGTGGGTTTGGTATGGCATCCAGATATGGAAAGTTTAGAGAATGAATCCACCATTTTCCAGGGATAGTATGTCCTAAGGGCCCTGAACTTTACATGACAGATTCTATCATAGTTCAGTTAGAGTACAAGAGCTTGGACCACTAGGAATCAACTTCAATATTTCTAGAATCCCGGATTTCTTCATCATGAGTTACCTGGAAGCAGAAAGGGGGTTCCATGGATAAGAGTCCCACCTCAGACACTTACTAGCTGTGTGACCCTGGACAAGTCACTTCACCCTGCTTGCCTCAGTTTCCTCATTTGTAAAATGAACTAGAGAAGGAAATGGCCAGCCGCTCCAGTATTTCTGCCAAGAAAACCCCAACTGGGGTCAAAAAGAGTAGGATGTGACTGAAATGACTGAACAATAACAACAAATGACCTGCCATAGGTATGTATGTGTGCATCAGCCCTAGCTCTATGCTCTATGGATGCTTATGTACCCTGTTCTAATGAAGGCTCTGTATTGAGGTCATCTATTATTAGGCCATCACCCTTTGTTGGTATCAGAACCCCTGAACATCTTTGCTAATCCTCTCCCACTTCACTCCAATTTCCTTGGATGAGGCTGCCTTCTCTTTACCAAGGCTGGTCCCTCTCAGAGTGTCCTTGATCTCGTTTTCTGCTGACTGCTTTGGGAACTGTTTGCGCTATTGCTTATTCATCCTCTCTCATTTCCAGCCTCTCCCAATGTACTCATTGCTTACCTGCTTGCTACAAATGTTTTCTAGTCCCACCCATTCTTTTTTTAAAAATTGCCCTTCCCTTGACTTTGTAATACATTCAAATTGTCATCCAATGTCTCCCACTCCTTTCATTGCTATACCCCAGAAAACTTTAAATGCTGAATAGAAGGACAGTTCTATGTGAGTGGGGGACACCTGCTCACCCTCCCATTTTAGGGTTACCATTCAATCTATGATTGTTTCTGGGGAAGCAAGGAAGGTGAGTCATTTTGCCACAGTCATACCCAGAAAGGGCTTTGGGGACCCTGCCTTTTATCTGGCTGGGTCTGGACTGAAACTCTTTCTAGGATGCCAGCCATACCTGTACATGCATATCGGGGTTTAATGACAAAGGATTTCACTAGAAATTCCTCTGGAAGGGGCCTGGGAATTCTCCTGCTTTGTGGGAAGAGAAGCTGGTCTGGTGACATTCAGATCATCCCATGTGGCCAGAGCCAGGTCACTGGGCATGGCTGTGGGTGTCCATGCCTACTTTGTGTAATGTTATCTCTCCCTCAAACACTCATTGACTGCATATGTGCCTGTGATCTTCCATAGTGATTCATTAGGCATATGGTCAATCCCCAAATCATAAGCACCCAGCCTTGTGAATGTTAGCACATCCTAATGGCCAGTTCCAGCTTCTTCCCCTTACTGCTTACCTTGAGGTTATATCACCTGTCAAATCTCCATTCCTCCTGCCAATTCCAAGCAGCAAATAGTCTGCTTCCAGAAAGACTGAACTAACTGGTTGTACTCCATTTACCACAAAAGCAGGGACTGTGATTTATAATGAACTTTGTATCTCTCCCAGGGTCCAGTACTCTCCCCTGCACACAGAAAGCACTTATAAAGGTCTGTTGAAAAGAACTGAATTGAATTGACATCAATTCCCTCTTCCCTACCATTTTTTTTCCTCCACGGGGGCATGAATCTCTTTTCCTCCATCTTTCAAGATTTATCTAATTTTGCCATACTCATATGGACACACACACACATATCTCTTTGTTAACTTTCTTCTGTCCTGTCTTTCTTCCAAGTTTTTCAAATGGATAGTCTCCTTAATTTGGATATTCCCTGCCATGATCCAGATCACAACTCATCCACATTTTCCCATCCTGACTTTTGCCTACCTATTTACAGAAGTTCACCACAAGGGGTCCACTCAACATGCCGAAGGTCTTCCTTGCTTTCCCCTAACATTTTTGGGGAGACCAGTGGAGCATTCTGGCTACCCAGCTGTCATCCTCACCATGCAACCAACCCATCCTTTCTTCCTAGCATACATTTCCCAGATGACAGCTTTCACTCCTTTCTCCCTTGGAGTTCTTCGTTCGTTATATGTTGCATCCTGCTCACATTCACCATTTACCTCTGCATCCCCCTTCATATAATATTATTTTTCAATTTTTCAGAGAAATTACAACTTTTTCCCAAAGGCAATCCAATCCAATCCAAATCCAAGAAGCATTTAATGTTAATCAGCATAGCCAGACTAAATGCACTTAGGCCATCCCAGCATGCATGTGTCCAGAGCTACTCTGCAAGAACAAGGTGACTGTTCTGCCCTTTGTGGTTGATAGACTTTCTGATTTCTCCCTACTATGTGATGGCTTAGAAGTTAAGGGACTTTAAAATAGGGCAATAGGCTCTGAATGGTCCCTTAGTCACTCTCCCCACCTCACGACAACAGAAAGGGAACAGGGCCATGAACCTGATTTAAAAAAGAGGTTTTGGTTAGCCACCTTTTTTGTCTTTGGTTTCCCAGGTGAGGAGACGTGATATCAAGAAGGTATGAAGAAAGATGACTCTTCTCTTTCCTGACACAATAATGTTAGGGGCTCCCTAGGTTGAGTATGGACTCAATTAGCCAGGCTTTCACCAATGGCCCTCGCTAAACTTTGCCTCATTTGTGTGTTTCCTTCCTTTAGCATCAATTCTGTGAGTATCAAAAGGTCCTGAAAGACCCCTGAGGGCCATTAAGAAACAGCAGCATCTATCAGTGAGAATATGGCTGCATCTTGGGAATGGGCTGATGTCAGCATGGGAAACAGAGAGAGGCCACCAGAAAGATTTTGCTTAACATTTCATTAGACTGTACTCAGTGAAGGTGACATGTAAAATGGTTAATTTGCCATCTTTCAAAAAAAGCTATCCAAATAAGGCTTGAACATTGGGCTCCCAATGATTGCACTAATAGTGCTAAGTTAGTCATTTTGTGATTCCTTGTGCTTGTCCTTTTTCTATGTGGGAATAAACCTGATCAATACTTGATTTGTTCATTGACTACCTTTTTTACTTTGCTCTCTTTTGTTCAGATGTGCTTTAAATGTAAAAAAGAAAAGAAAAACAAAGCCCATTTAAGAAAGCATCTATGTAAAAAATAAGGCCCAAGTTTAGAATGCAAAGCTTAGTAATATTCAGGGGCAACATGACACATTGGAAATAACCCTGCATTTGCTGTCAGAGGACCTAGTTTTTAATAATAATTATAATAATAATAAATATCATTATTATAACAACAACCATCATTTATGTTGCACTTACTATGTACAATTATGATCTCATTTGATCCTTACAACAGTTCTGCGAGGTGGGTGTTATTATTATTCTCATTTTACAGATGAGGAAATTGAGGAAATAGAGGTTAAGTGATGTGCTAAGAGTCACACAGCCAGGAAGTATCTGAGTAGAGATTTGAACTCAGGTCTTCCTGACTCTAGGCCAGGCACTCTATCCATTTCACCACCTAGCTGTCCAACCCTCATTTTGCTACTTACTACCTGTGGCCTTGATCAAAGTGTTTACTTTCTTTTGGCTTCAGTTTCCTCATCTATAAAATAAGGGGGTGGGACTACACGACTTTTACAAGCTCTTCCACTGATAAAACCTATAAAGCCCATTCAAAGTGAACTAGATACTGTTGGGAGAGGGGAACCATTAAACATTTGCCAGTAGAATCCCTGAATGAGAAGAAGAAAGTCATAAGACACAGTATGTCCACCATTTCCCTTTTTATCTCTTTTCACTTTGCTACTAGGGAGAGAAGTTAGAAAAACATAAAGTAATAGGAGAGCCCTTCAGAGTTGCTCTGAGAGTTAGGAGTGCTAAGGAAACAAATCAACCCTTCTCTACCAATGCTGTAAGAGAGTGATTAAAAATCTTCGAAACAACATCACTAAGAAGCCCCAGAGAACCAGAACCAAGCAAAATGAAGACGGAAAATGAAGAGGTGTCAGGAATTGTATAGAAGTCCCTAGGATATACATATAAAAATAAATACATATACACATACATAGGTGTATATATTATATATATACATGCATACATATGTATGCTTAGATATATATGCAGATATATGTACACTTATATGTGCATGTATGCATATATACATATATAATTGTATTCCATGACATCTTTAAACATACTAGCTCTGGAGAAATTATTTGGCTATAAGAAAATCTTTTTACTCTTCCCTACTTGCATTTTATGTAATAAAATACCCAAAGGTTAAATCAGGAGATTGGTATCAATAGGAATTTAAGATGAGAAAAGTATCGCATTGTCCATACTTGTTTTAAATCTCAGTCTACACTGCATCTTTCCTTTGAATGGCTAAACGAGGCTTAGTAATGAGTCAAAAATCCATCTAACACATACATGGTTTAGGACTTAGATTTAGAGATGGAAGGAACCTTAGAGACCGTCTATTCCATCCCCTTTGTTTTACAGATTAGGCAACTGAGGCCTGAGAATCTAAGGGTCTTACCTAAGGTCCCACAGGTAAGAATTCCACAACTACTGGGGATATGAAGATGGACAAATAAAGTAGCCATTGGTTTCAAGGA